TTAAAGAATAGAAAAATACAATCGTGTCTAAAATGACCCTATATCATGAGGGCTATAAAAAGTTTTTCATTCAATATAAATGAATAAAGTTAACGGCATCTCACGGCTCTCGATTAAGTAAACCAGTAAATTCGACTTTTATCGTGCAGTTCAAGCTAAGAACAAGTCTTAGTAGAATCGAGAAAAGAAGAAAGAAAAACACAGTGGCTGGCTCTTTCGTCGGCATGGTGCCGTACTTCCTGTCCAATCACGACTTTATCTATCCCTGACGAATGCATGCCAGGCGTTAGCCACCTAAGATCCTACAGATATTATAAGAGTAGGCATCGAGAGAAAAAAAGGTCGTACCTGTTTCCACGGTCGTGTTAACAGCCGAAACTCATAAAGACGTTTAAAGTAGCCTGAAGAAAAGAGATGGGACGGGACAGGACCCTTTCTTTTACCACCGAAACGCACCTTCGTCGATTTTTCGACGTCGCCAGACACCGACCATTCAAAAGACGGCGACGGTGAATAGATCGGTCATCGAAATTTGTTTGACTACGTGTAGGGTGGTTTCTCATAACTCGACCTGTTTCCACGAAGTTTGGTGGTATATTTCCTTGTTTTCTTCTTTTCTTTCTAAACTTCATTACCGTGGAAAATATTATAAGCAGTGAATGATTTATTGCATGATTCTCTGAAGCTTCGTTTCGTTGAAGAATCATACAAGGAAATTAAATGAAAATTCAAATTTCATGTGAGATTATACACAACTGATGGCCGATCCCATGCATACAAAAATTTTGTAAGAAAGATAAATCAATCGAAACACATTATGAATGAAATATCGCGTCAACAGCTGAAACACAACATCCTGCGCGTCGTAATTTAAATAAAAAGACGCGAATATAATATGCAAGCATACCTGGGACAATATTTTCAAGCCTAAACGTTTCATTATACCATTAAGCCTCCTCCTGCGAGACGTAATACGACGTAACAGACAATTATTAAAAACGAACGAAGAATCGTTCGGGTACGCCATTACCCGACGAATTTCATTCGCGGTATTAACAACACTTTCGCAACGTGGCCAAACGAACCCGGAGTCGCAATTAAAAATTGATTTACAACGGCCGCCGCGCCGGTTCGTCATTAACACGCTCGTGCGCGCGCGCGCACACAAGAGGAAAGGCAGCAGCCGTTAGCGGCAGCGTGCAAATTTCGCGATAATTGGCGAACGCGTCGCTCGCACGCCGCTAATATCATGATGGAATCGTGGCGAGCAAATCGATCAGGGCCTGGATGAATCGCCCGGAGCCCAATTTGTCATAGACAAGAATCTCGTCGGGGATCGGTGATCGTAACGCGCCTCTATGAAATCGGTCATCGTATTTATAATCTAATTATCTACGATTTCAATCCTTCAGTTCGCGATCGATTCGTATACCTAGTTACCTACACAGTTATCTTTAGTTATTTCGTGTTCGTGCATCATTGATACCATGTAAAGAAAGTCCATTGGACTTGTCGCTCTTGCCGGAAATTTGTCTTTTATATTCGAACAAGTTTAGGTTTTGCCTTGAAACGTGGATATGTATGCAAATTTTATATTTTTGTAATTATAATTAAAGCAGAGATTTCGTTCACATATTAAATCACATATTATATTAAAAACGAGTATGTATTATATTAAAAATGGAGTACTGTATCTACTTCTTATTCTTCATCTTCAACTCAGAGATTTCATAAAGACTCGTTAGTAAGATATTTATGTGAATAGAGCTCTATTTTCCCTTGTATTATGTAAATATGCCATTTATTTTAATTTTTCTTTTTTAACACTATTCTTAATTTTTGTTGTCGATAGTTACCACTATTAAATACAATACGAAAACTAGTATAAGTTTATAAAATAAAATTAGAATATAATTGACGATAGACAAACTTTTAAAAAACGACGAATTAATTCTTCATAGAACAATGAATCAAAGTGAATCAAATGTATAACATAATCGCAAAGTAGCTTGTAGCTTCGTAAAATTATTATGTTTTTTAATTAACGAGATGCTAATACGTAATAAACAGTAAATTCCCTCAAAATGACTTTATTTAGGTGTTCATCTTTATTAGATTATGACGAAACTCCGTTTGTATCGGGATTTAGCGGCGAGATCAAAGAGATCGCGATACGACTTTGACACGAAGTTAGAGCTAGTGTCGTCCTTCTCCTGTGACAGCTTCACTATCTTGTTCTTTTCGGAGGTTCTTTCCGATCCCGATTATCTTTCACCCTGGTTGACCTGCTACCCGGGCGTAAAGTGGATAATTCTGTCCAGGAAGGGTAGATCTTCGATCTACGCAATGGATACCATGTTCTTGGGTGATTTTAAATAAAGTTCGAAAGTTAGACTCGTTGTTTTGTCACGGCAGCGGGTGACGTTACGCGACGACTTTCTTGTAGGCATAAATTTTAGTTTTAGATGACTGTCTAGTTAAACGGAAATTTTCACTCTTTATTCATCCTTCGAATAGCTGGATCAATTAAAATTTATAAAGAGACTAAATTACTGCAATGATCTAGATGATAAATAAATGGTTTCTTGCTCTATTAACAATATCAATATAAAATATTGATAAATATTTATAAACGTTACATTAATATATTCTACTCTTTCCTCCGTACTGATGTTCGGCAATGCAAGAGTATTAATTTTATTCAATTCATACTATAGTTGGAAAAAAGAAATAGTGAACGATCAGTGCAATTCTAGCCGTGTATTCTAACAGTAGGATGTCAAGGACAATTTCGTGAATCGCTCTAGACAAAATCTTGTCAGATGAATACTTTGATTCGAATCTAATTGGACATTATGGTGAACATTCATGAGAAGAAAAGAAGATAACAACTAGGTGATAGTTGCGTTATCCAAAAAGTACAATTATTACCAAATTATGGACGAATTGACAGTTGGTAGCAAAGCAGTGGATGGTTAGGAATCTTTATTGACAATGTGGATCTGTAATTAGTACCACGCCGTCTTCCACTGCCATTACTTCCCGTTTCATAATTTTTTTTTCTCAACCCATTTTTGTTCGGATGAAATCTCACGCAGCCATGTATTATCGTCATGAATCAACAGACTCTGCGACGAGTAACAAAAGCAGCTACGTGGATTGAGGTGAGCAAAAGGAAGAAAAGAGGCCTCGAAAACGGAGAGACAGCACGAGAGAAACTTAAATAGTAGGTCTGTCTTAATAACCCTGGTCCCGGGACACAAACTGAATGTCATTGCAACAGATTCGATCACATGAATCGGCACTGACAGCATAATTCTAGTGTCGTGTCAGCGGCAAGACGCAGCCTAGTCTCTCAAATTCTCTTTGTAATTGATTTGAAAGAAAATCAATGCTTTGCAGAATCAATAATATAGAGAATTGCGAATTAAAAAGAAATTTTCTCTAGAGAATTCCTCAGATTAGGAAGTTCGAGAAATGACTGAAAATGGAGAATTTTCAGAGAGCATTTCAAAAACGCAATGTACAAGATCAATTCATTCAAGATCGCAATGTGCAATCCATTCTGAATAAATAAAACATATAACATATGTTAAATAGAACATAAAACATATAACATATTAATAAGTAAAACATATATAGACAAGATAATATTGCTAATAATAAATACCCGTAATCATTATGCTCATGAGGAATCATACATAATACCATGTCACAATTACCCATGTCTATTCGGATTTGTTTATCCTATGACATGACTGAATAATTAAAAAAATAAAAATGTATGTGACTCACGATTACATATGGAGAACAGTATCATTATTGTAGTTGCAACTTAGATCGAATCATAGCGAAGTCCATCAAGTAAAACTGGTAAGGAAGTGAAAGTTGGTAAAATCCTATCATAAAACACAGAATATTATTGTTTTTAAGAAAAGTGTTAATTAATTAGAAGTTTGAAATTATTATAGATCAATCCCTTATAAAACATTAATATTTTAATGGTAATATTCAATTCCAAAATGAAAATTTCAAGCTTGTCAAATTTCCATTTTGGTTCTATCTTTACAATTAATATTAATTAACTTAAAATGCAAGAAATAGTAATAAAATAAAAATAATTAAAAAACAAAAAATAAATATAAAATAAAAAGAAATAATGAAATGCAAAAAATAAAGTTACTTACATTTTTTGTTTTTAAGGCATCGTTAGATTTTTCCAGAAAACAAAATATGAGTTATTATAATTCATTCTGAAAAGAATCATAAGATCATAAGATGTGTAACTTTGTAAAAATTTGAAATATTTATAATTAAAAAAAAAAAATTAAAATTCTAATAAACTGTAAAAAATGAAACTCTAATATAAAAATATTATATTATATTAAATACTATAAATACTAACAAAATCCAGAATATAAAAATTCAATTTTTTTAGATTTCATTTTCTAATTAATACATTATTCATACTAACAAATTTGCAAAGATTCTTATTAACATAACCTGTATTCATTATTTCTAAGTCATAATTCTAAATGTTTTAAGTTACTTTGTACTAATTATGACTTTCTAAGTCAAATGTTTTTAAGTTACTTTGTACTAATAAAATATGACGTGTTTTTTTGATAATTAAATTAAAGAAAGTTGCGCAATATACAAAACACACAGCAATGCGCAGAACATATTCAAATTCATCTGTGATGGCATCTCTTTCCGAAAATATCAATTAATAAATTATCAATTATTTCTTTCAATAATATAAATTATTGAAAAAAGTTGCCAGTTAATTCAATAAAAGAAAAAAATAAACGTATAAACACATATCATTTATTAGGAGAAATTATTATTAATTACCATTTGAATTTCGTGACATCTTCATACTGCTTTATAATGCAAAGTTCTTTTCGTAATCAAATCTGCATGAAAGAGAATCAAAATTTTCAAATAAATATATACAAAAAATTGGAAGCTCATAATATAAACTACCAGTGTTACAATTGAAAAAGCAATGAGAGAAAAAAGAAAATTTACTTACATAAATCTCACGAAGAGACATACATCTTCACATCATCATTTTCGAGGATAGACTAACATTCCCCGTGTAATAGATTCGAGTCATGAACTACACAATTTGACGGGGTGGGGGTTCGTAAATACACAAATAGAATTCAGTTGACAAATTCTGAAAACATAAACATATGATTCTTAAATTATTAAAATCATACAAGTTATTATATACTATACAGCTTAATTGTTAACGTGAATTATTATAATGATGATTATAATAATAATTGTGATATACTGAACAAAACAGCTAAGTATTATATTAATTTGAAGCAAAAATCTGTTATAAATTAGAATTAATGTATAACATTCTAATTCATAAAAAATATTTATTTATCATCGATTTTTAAACTTGTTACTCTCATTGATGTGGTACGCAATTCTATAACAAAATAACACATTAAATGCCAAGCTAGTCAATTTATTTGTTACAATATCATGGATAAAAACACCATCTATCAGGAATTAGAGGTAGTTGATCAACTAATGGTTCATGTTTAGCATTTCGGTTTTCTTTGCAATTCTTTTTGTTATTTGTTTTATTATCGACGAGGTATATCATATATCTCGTCTGTGGTTTCATATAGCTTTGAAACTTGATTGTTCAAAAAAAGAATTTATTTGAAGTTGAACAAATATTAAATTAAAGGAGGATGAAAGAATAATGGATACAGAGTTTTCATTCATATGGTGAGATCTAGCAATCTTTTGACATAATTTTTTTTGACATATAATTATTAATTACTATAGTTAATACATATCAAATAATAATAGAATTAATTATATAGTAAATGATATGAACTGATTAACTGCGATTAATAATTTTATTCCTAATTGTTTTTATTCTTATAATATTTAAATCTACACCACAGATGAAGTATATACCTCAAATTGAGCTTAGAATGTTATCTGGATGCCATCTGGAACAGAATATAGCAACTTGCGATCTATTTCAGAAGATATCAAAATTACATACACAGTCACGAAGTTTACGTATGTAATACAAATTTCTGCGATCCATTCTACTTTTGTCATAATATAGAATTAATTATTATTAGTGTATAAACAAAATCATGTTATTACGGTTCTGTGCACGTACCAGCCAAAAATTGTTAAATACGACTATAGTATTTCAAGTAAGTTGAAAACTTCATTTCTCATTGAGGTTATATTATATCATAGTTTACATTTACAATTTCAATGATGAAAATATGAATGTATCCAGACAACAACAAAATGCCAGTTCAGTGGTTTTGCTTATAATATAAGAAATGGTCCGTTAAAAAGGGATTGTATATTAAATGTACATAAATTTTCAAAAGTTCAAAAAATTTATCTCATTCGATATGAGAGCACAATTAATACAACAGTAAAAGAAACAGTACCAAATATACCAGGTATGAAAATGGTATGACTTTTGTAATATCTTTGGTTTGATATTTTTAATATAATAATAAATGTGATACTTCATTCTTATTAGGTTTATCGGAATCACAAACACAAACACAAATAACAGATAATGCAACAATACAGAAAGATCTATTAAGTGAAATACCAGGTAATAAACACATTTGTATTAAATTGCATTTAATATATTTGTTTTTTTAAATTATTCAATAATACATAAAACAGAGACATAATTGATATAATTTTTTGCAGATCCACCTGTATTACAAATACCAGTGCATGAAGAAATCACAAAGATTATAAATTTACACCCAAATGGTGAACCTACCTTTGAAAGTTTAGGATTAGGTGGATTTAGTCCTCTTGGAATTTTCCAATCATTTTATGAATTACTCCATATTAATTGTCACTTACCATGGTGGGCAACAATTGTATTAACTTCTATAATTATCAAACTTGCAACATTTCCATGTTCAATATATGCACAGAGAAATAGTATCAATATGCAAAGAGTTCTACCAAAAATGATAAAAATACAACAAAATATGACTGATGCAAGAAGATGTGGCAATACATATGAAGGTATGTATCAAATAATACAATATATTTATCTAAATAAAATTATTCACTTATTTTTTAGCTGCTGCACATGCTTATGAACTACAAAACTTGCTCAAGAGAAACAAAGTCAAGATGTTCCCCATTTCCAATATTATAAAGGTATTTAGTTTTACATGCATATTATGTAGACGCGTTTATAATAATTTAAATATTAAGATTTATTCTTGCATATTTACAGATGTCCGCACATTTGCCATTTTTCTTTGCTTTGAGAGGAATGGTTACTAAAGTAGAGAGTTTAAAGGAAGGTGGACTTTGGTGGTTTACAGATTTAACTGTTGCTGATCCATATTATCTGTTGCCGTTAACTTCAACTTTAACATTGTATGTTGTTGTCTCATGTGCATTAAAGTCTTCAGGAAATGTAAGTCCACTGATGCAACATCTGTTCAAGGCAGTGCCAGTTATTTCATTTATAATTGCAATGAAATTTCCAGGAGTAAGTATTATTAAAATTTATCTTTATTAATATGTGTTGTGAATATTAAAAAGAATTTATTTTAGGCCATTTTGTGTCACTGGGTTATGTCAAATACTATAACTTTAGCGGAAAGTGAAATATTAAAAATACAAAAAGTAAAAACATATTTTAATATTCCTCATATAATAGCAGTACCACAGACTATAAATAAAAGACATGAAAAGAAAAGCTTCAATGAAGCATTCTCTGAAGGTATCTTTAAATAGATATCCTAAACATAATATAATTTTAAATTTATTATATGTATAATTTTTATTTTAGCTTGGAGTAACATGAAAATATCTAATAAGTTAGCAACACATGCACATGCGGATCAAAAACAATTTAATGACGCAGCTAGAGGTCCATTACAAAAGACATATAAATACAATCCAGTGCAAACTTTATCAAAATCAAAATCAACAGCATCAATGTCAGCAATGAAAAAATAAAATTTTAAATATATACAATTTCTTTATGTAATTAGTTATAAAATTTTATTGTAATAAGTTAATAAATTAGAAAATAATGACAAAGTATTTTTACATACTATAGGCAATCATTTTAAAATATATGATATTAACATTTTATACCAATACACTGATTGATCACTTCAAGTAAATGATTGTTTTCAAGAGCTGCTGCTACTCTTTCTTTGTCAGCTAATTGTTTATTTACTGCTGCTTCTGACATATGAGTACCTGGTGTAATTTCAACATTAACTTTAAATCTTGGAGGAAGAACTCGTAATAATTGTACTCTAATTGATAAACCAATTAATGTTGCCATGCTACAGTGTGGTATTGTTGGAGTGAATTTTACATATACTTTGTTTGCTTTATTATCAATCTAAAATAAAACAATGTTTTTAATAATATGATTGATAATATATATTTTATAATATGTGTATCGATCAATATAATGTACTACCTCAATGAGACTTTGTTCTACTACATTCAATTCTTCTAATGTTAAAGGATGTTCAGGATCATTGATATTCCTAATCAAATCTAGAAAATTATATGTTATAAATAAAAGATGCATACAAGTTTAAATGCAAGAAACATTATTACGTATATTAATAAATACGTACCAAATATTTCACGTGTATCAAATTCATCTATAATATCTTCATCTTCATCTTCTGCAGTAATTTCTCTTTCATTTATTTTTTTATATAATTTGGGATTAATATTTTCTAATGTGTCACCCATTTTTCTTCATAAAAAAAAAGAAAACATATTACACATCATAAATAAATCTAACAAAATTATTTTATTAATTTATATACGTATTAATTAGAGTTTTACAATAATCAGGATATATAGGGATAAGAATAATAGTGAATTCATTTCACCTGTCCTTGCGGTAGTTACAACTAGTTACGGTTTTCAGTAGTAAATATAATCATTGGGCTTATATGCGTGTTCTTTTTTAGGGTATTTTAACCTAATAGACTACAGCCACAGACGAGATATATTTTGATTTTAATTCCCATCACTAGTAGTGCTGCAATGCAAAATCTGCCTGAATCGGTACGATAGGATGTGACATGAAAATGGTACGGTTTTGAGAACCATATTACCATGGCCGAAAAAATACATGGTGTTGCGATGTCTATTCATATACCTCGTCTGTGCTATGGTCGAAAAAATACATGATGTAATGTCTATTCATATACTTCGTCGATGATTCGTCAGTGCTAGTGATTTTTTTCCTAGTTGGTATTTTAGACCCTGAAACTCCATTTAATGTCTAGTTTATGCTAGTTAGTTAGTGGTGCCAATTACTTCTGGCTACGATCTTTTTAACTTCCTGTATATTTAAGAATCTCTTCAGATGTGAGAGAATTCTAAGAATCAAATAAGTTTTTTTTTGTTCGTAGTATTATTTAATATTTAAATAAATTTTTTAATATTGTATCAACAAAGACTTCATTGATTTACATATGTATAATATATAAAAATAATGTAAGATATATATAGAATATGAATGTAATACATAACCTTTTACTTCTTTTTTATACTTCTATTTTTTTTTCATATTTCTTTTTATTCTTTTATATTTCTTTTTGATACTTATTTATATTTTAATTTACAAACAATTTTAATTGCAGTTTGAAAATGGCTACATCTCTTGCAGAACAATTAAAAAAATTAAGAACACCTCAAACACAAATACTATATCAGGATAAAAAACGTGCTAGCTTATTGTTTGATCCTAGAGAGGCTGCTAACTTAGATAAAGAAACAGTTCTAAGTATAGGTAATGTATTTTATATATTTCTATTTATATACATTTTTTTTTTACCAAAACAATAACATGATGATTGTTTCTTGCACAGGTCAAAATGGATTGCAAGAGTTAATTAAGCTGTCAGATGTATTTTTAGAATTCGAGCAAACCCTTTTTGCACAAAGTTCACTGAGTCTTGAACGTGCTATACAAGACATTAAAGTCAACAAAAAATTAGATGGAGAGATTGAGAGATTTCTCATCTTTTTATCTCCTTATTTCTTACTTAATAATGCTCATAAAGCTCTTGAATGGTTAATATATAGATTTCGCATACATGAATTTAATAGAGATCAATTTTTACTTTTAATATTACCTTATCATGAAACTCGAATGTTCGTTAGGGCATTGCAATTATTAGATTTATCCGATGAAGCTGGTAATTGGCATTGGTTAGAACCTCTTCAAAAGCCTGGTATTCCCTTGGCTTCTATAACATTAATCAATCGTCTTGGTTCCGATAATGCTTTGTTAAAATTAATTTGTAACCATGTAACTACTGCCACTAAAATATATTCAGAGCGAGCATCTTCTTTAAATACTTTATATGCATTTTATACAACTTCAATATTAGGAATTCTTGATCGATCATCTACTATTTCTGAGATACAAATGGGTCATATGTTACCAACTATTTTGAAAGGCCTAGAAAGTTCTATCTCCGATTTTGTAGCTAGCACTTATATGATCCTAGCAAAATTAATGTTCAAAGAGAAACTGAACAGTGAAACCATGGAGAAATTACTCTTGAAAATATTCAGGAAAACATACTTAAAAGAAGAAGCATTGCTCCTGTTATTTGTCTTATACAATGTACCAGTTCATTCGCTCACTAGTGTCCCACAAAGTCTTGCTACACGATTATCGGAATTATCCTGGTTCGTTGAACTCGCAATCAAACTTCAGTCATCTCGTGAACATCATCACGTGAACATATTAAAATTCATTGTACCATTACTACAAACAAGTTGCCGTATGATCGTGGACAATCCGCCAGAATATAAACTACAAAAAATGATGAATGAGATATTAATGCGAATAAAGCTGGACAATATTGGAGTGGATACCATCTTATGGAACATACTGCAGAAGGAACTCCTTTCAAATGACATGTCAAAAGAGGCGAGAGATTTCCTAATAAAATTATATCATAGTTTTGAAAAAATGTATCCTGAAAGATTCGATGATTATCTAAAGGGACTAATGAAACGTAGCGAGACAGACAAGAATTCCAAATTGGCATTACAGTTTGTCACATCTTGGCATTTTGGAGCCAAAAATACACGAGAAGTCGTTGGCATACTTGACAAATTGATTCATATTAATCCAGTTCAAAGAATTATGGGATTAGAAATGTTGGCAAATTCTAATGTAAATATCTCTGAAAGCTTTCAGGAGATGATGACAAACACGATACAATCTAGATTCAGCGATACAGAAGTAGATGTTATCAGAGCTTTACTCTCTATTCCTACGGAACGTCTAACAACACTTCTATCTACAGACATATTGATCGACGAATTAAAGATATTATTATCTACTTGTCACAGTAGTAGCAGGAAAATACTAGCAAAACCAGCGTTGAAAATTCTCCTAAAACTCTGTGAAGCTGGAGATGATACCAGCGTTTTTATTATATCATTGCCATATTTGTTTCCAAATGATGATGCAGACGTAGATATTGTAATGGAAGTATTAAGATCAAATTTTGCCAGGAACAATATTTATATGCAACACGTACAAAAAGACTTAGGAATATCACCGAATGCAGAAGCAGTTTCATCAACATCTTTTCACAACATATTAAATTGGGAATTATTACCTCCAACAGACAGCATATTGAGCGTTATGAAGCAACAAATCTCTCATGGTGATGCAGCTTCCATGTTTTTCAACTTAATTTTATTAGGTTCCGTATGTAGAGTTCCTGTTGGATCATTAGAACCGCAAATAGCTCGAGAGGTAATAGAAATGGCTACAGCGATGATTAAAAAATTCCCACAAGTGAAATTATTACAGAATTGCAACAATATTACGGGAAATAATATACAAATGGCCATTGAATTGACTTCTCAAGGTGTTCTACCATTACAAGTAGGTACTTACGTTTTGGAAATGGTTCACAGGCGTCTTGATCTGAAATCAAATCCGATATTTGATTTCGAGAACAATCAACATCGTAGTAATCTGATTTTGAGGCTTCTCGAGATGTTTTTTGAAGGAATAGACAATGTATACTGGTGCAAACATTATTCCCGTTGCCTACAAATATTTTTCCAGAGACACTTCTCCACAATCAAAGATCTTATCCGTTTTCTTTCTCAATTATATATAAAACCTGTGAAGATACAAACGTCCTATCACTGTTTGAAAATAACTGAAGTGTTGTTGAATCAGTGCAAATCTACTCAGTGGGCATTTGACGATAAAATATTTGTCACGAATTTGTTGCTTTCATTAGCTAGAGAGAATAATGAATGTCGAATAACATCATTAAAAATTCTTAAAAAGCTCTTAAGCGCTGCTTACTTAATGCTGGATCCTTTCCCGTCGTTGCTGCAAGAACTTGTCGTCAGAAGTCCAGAAATATCTTTAGATCCTGATCAGTTATCTTTGTCTCTTTATATTCTATTATCACCTGATCCAGATGTATGTGGCCAACTGAAGATAGATTTACGAAAAAGACTTCAACAAGCGCAACAAATGTTATTTGAAATTGTCACTGATCAAGAGAGCCCTTTGCACATTAAATCGCAATTGCTTGATATTCTAGTTTACGTCAACGGACCCACTATACTTCAACAATTGGTTCCTCTTGGATTACAACTTCTAGAAATGCTTCAAACTGACTCTAAAAATAAGTCTGCAGGAAATTTGTTGAAAAACATACTTCAGAGATTCAATAGCACAACAACAAAGGCGCTCAACATTGAACAAGTATGGAAATTATTTGAAGCAAGCATAGAGGAACATAAGATTGAAATAATCACAGAATCTGGAGCACAGTATCCGCCAAGTGCGATTCTTTTAAAACAAATAGGAAGTACTTTCTTTCAAGTAGCTGGAGAAACGTCTATCGATCTTCAGAAAAGAATTCTAGCTAAATTAGTAGACGTAGCCACCAATTGTGAAATAGGGAATGTTATTTCTTCAACTAATAGAGCGATAAGGAAAATTCGAGTGAATGCACAACTAATAGTGGATGAACTGCAAATTATGAAAAATCTTAAGAATGCTGAATCAAATGATGCTAAAATTAAGAATAAAAGACGACTCAGTCATGTTCATGCTTTTCCCGATCCAACTATTATCAATAGAAGAGAATGGAAACGCGGCGTGACTCTTTTAGAATTCGTTCAACAAGCGAATAATATCGAACACGAGGAACTGCTCTATCCAATTTTATTTGATCTGCTGAAAACATGCCTCAGTTTCGAGGAACAGAGTCCTATAGAATATATGAACCAATTATTGTTATCCACCATTCATCGATTAACAGTGAAGAAGCTGCCTATTCGCGATGCCCATCTTCAAGTGGATTTAATCACACAGTGCATTAGAACTTCGAGAAATCCTCAGACTCATCATCACGCTTTATTAGTTTTGGTAGAGTTGTTGAAAATTGTCGATATACGCTGTGCTCTTTACACCATCATGCCTATTTTCACATTTATGGGAAGTACTGTGGTTCGCCAGGACGATGCTTATTCTATTCAAATAATCTCCAAGACTATCGAAACTGTAGTACCCATAATAAACGCGGCTGAGAATGAAATTCATGCTTGCGAAGTCTTAAGAACTTTTATCGTTTCGTTACCAGATATTCCAGAACATAGGCGAACTCCGTTATTTGTAAAGTTATTGCAATTATTGGATAATCATTTTCATTTATATTACTTGTTGAGTTACGAGAGTCACGTTCTGTCAAGAACCATGTCTATTACAAATCAGAAGACACCTGGGCAGAGATTAGAATTCGCTTTGCAGGTGTCCCAAGAATTTCCACCTACAAAACTTATTCAAGTTTGTGTAAAATTACTTCAGTTTATGAAAGAACTGCCTATAGATATTGAAGACGAGGAAGGTAGAAAAGCTGCAATGTTTTTTAAACATAAACATATTTTTGATGTTGGTACTAGTAGTGCTAAACATTTAAAACATTATAAATATACCCTGATCCAATTTTTAAGCAATTTATTATCATCGCCTGATTTTATCAATAAAGTTGCTGAACTCGATGTTACCGAAGTAAATAATGTAATACCATATTATGATCAATTGATCGTGGAATTAATCATACTGATCCAGAGTACTTCGAAGAATGCCGATAAACATCATGGGAAACCATCTGCGAAATATTGGAAGGTTCTTTTGCATCATTTGTATGATGTGCTAGATTTGGTGAATAACTTATTACCAAATGGAATATTTTTAATCAGTATCAAACGTTTGATAGAACACAATCTACCGGCAGTAAAGAGGAAAGCCTTAGAGCTTCTTAATACACGTCTTCAACAAAAAAAGTTTACTAAAGAGAATCACGAAGAATTGTTACAATTGATTGAATCTTTATTGAAGATAATACCAGCGAAAGTAAAGTCTGAAACACAGGAACAAGAGATTGTTCAACAAACTGTTTTGATTACTATAAAATTGCTGGCGAAATTGTTGGCTGGTGATCATCCTATATTATTCAAGCCGGTGAGTTAATATATACCTTTGAATAATATTAGTATGTAACATTATAGCGAATAGTATTATATTAGTAGTAGGTTATTTATAGTTATAGTAGTTATAATAGTAAACTATATAATATTAAATAGATTAATAAATAAAATTTTTTATTATTTTTCAGATATTTCATTACTTACTTTATTATTTGTTCAGATATAACTTTAATATTTCTTTTACAGATACTTGAGATGACTACCGAACTTTTAAGTTCAAGAGAAGGGCCAGTATTAGGCAGTGCTGCTCTTTGTGTCGCGGAATTATGCAGTTCTATGCGTATTCATGCAATACACTCGTTGAACAAATTTGTACCAGCGATTCTGCAATTGTTAGAGGATCACTGTAATCAAGATATGCCGGATGTAGTAGCTGTCAGTATAGTCAGCGCATTGCAAAAGATTGTCGAATCTGTAGGAAACTTTTTATCTCTGTATTTGGATCAATTACTGTTTGAATTAGCAAGATTGAATTCTCTGTACACCGATAAGGAACATCAAAAGGTATGATTTATCAGTATTGAATTAATAATATGTATAAAATGAAATGTAATGAAAAGATAATGACAACAATAGTCAAAATAACAGTAAGAGTAGAGAATCTAAGATGATAGTATAGTCTTTATTATATTCTAAATCAAATTTACTTAATTTTAAATGAAATGCTCTTTACATATCTTTGATAAACTCTCACATTTGCAAAGATTGTAAAGTGGCAATCAATATCTTTAAAGATTTATCATTTCCATAGATTGGCATCATGGTATCACGATTAAATGCAACAACTCAGAAACTCTCTTCCTGCATACCTTTGCGAATACTACTACCAGCTGTTAATAGAACATATGCAACATTATTAGCGAAGAAATCATATCAACGTGTTCCAGCACTGATGAATGTGCTAGTAGAATCATTCAACAGCG